CGTTATTGCTATTTTTTGCCATTTTCGGTTTTTCAAATCCTATTTATAAACAAACATTTCTGTCTACCTACACGGCATGCGGCACCTAGATCGGATACTACTACACGTCGTATCTTTTTACCTAATTGTTTGCTTGGAAACAGAATAGAGCGTTTTTAGTGCTCTTATGTGGCTGCTACGATATCATTTCCACTATTCTAAGTTTGCGGAGTGACGAAGCAAAACAAGCTCCGTTATACTCGTAATTCGTAAGCTTAATTCCATCCTTAATCAGCGTTGTTGCCGAAATTCAGCTGGAGAAGTTTTATAGTTAGTTATAAAAACATACTGGTTAGAATACAATATATAAACTTTAGGTTAGAGAGAAATAAATAACAGATATAGCCAGTGTTTTCAATAGATGACTTGTTATTTATGCATGTAGCAAGGTAGCTTTTTATTCTAGTACTGCTGGTTTTGTGATTACCTATTTTTCTGTAATTCTATGATTCTAAATCGATACGTTTCATGACTGGTTTGGAGTAATCACAACACAAATATTATCGGAACTTTTCCATGGAAATTTTTTTTCATAGGTCTGCATTTTGGGGTTAGCTTCATGTCAAAAGTCTCTGATATTTTGGTTGTGTGTTCAGACATTTATGATATATAACACGTGTTACTAGGAAAATTTGGAACTATACGCTATACAGGGTGTCCGCAAAGTTGAGGTTTTCCTTTTCAGAAACAACTACCCTTGAAATAACAAAGGTAATGTGTAGTGAAACGAGGGCGACCAAGTAAAAAAAAATAAAGGAAAAAGTACCACTCTCCAGTTGACGAGAAGGGCCATTACGTCTCTGCCCGAAATCATACCGCTCCAACAGAAAATGAAATCAGCTGATGCGCTACCGAGCAGACGCAGAAACCACATTGATTATCTTACACTTAATGGCACATCTTCTAACAAGGAAGGCAAAATGTTGTGTAAAAAGTCTAGGTATTGCATCCCGTCCAATCGATTTGGGAGAATAAATGGTCCAATGAGCATACCGTTCACCATGCCAGCCCAAACATTCGACGGACAGCGTGCGGATTTTCTACTGACCAAACATGAGTGTTGCGAAAGTTATTCACCCCATTACTCGTGAACGTAGATTCGTCCGTCACCAATATGCACTTCAAAAAGTCCGGATTATTGTCATGTTGACGCAACGACCACTCACAAAACCGCACTATTGCTGGAAAATCGTCAGGTTGAAGGGCTTGTACACGTTGGACGTGAAACGGATAGCCCCTCTTCACGCAGCGTTTGCCACACTTTAGTTTTTGATACTTGCACTTCTCTAGCCACGTCTCTAGTGCTTGTTGAGGGATTCTCGTCTACGCGATTACCTCTACACGCGTGACCGTAACCGTCCGTCGGTTGAAGGTTGCATACTGACCTGACACACTGACCCCGACTTAGTTCTGTCGTCGGGTTGAGCCAGTGACCTTGTACCAGTCGGTGATGTCGCGGCTACAGGACGGTATTAAGATATTTTTGATGTTGCAGAACCCTTTATCTCGGTTCCCTTAAGCCATTGGTGTATATGGTACTGAGAAAAATTGCTTATGTTTTCAAGATCTACACGTCGTGTAAAGGAAAACCACAACTTTGCGGACACCCTGTATATACCGGCACAAGTATAAATTGAAAAATATGAAAAATGAACAAGTATAAATTGAAAAATATGAAAAATGAAAACCCCGACACCCTGATGCACGATTTTCATAGTAAAAATGGTTGAAACAAAAGTTAGGTCTCATCCCGGTAGGTTTTGGGATGTATTGCTCTAGGTATTTAATGATGCACTTTCTCATAAAGCACACGTTTCGCCATTTATGTGATGTCTTCTTCAGGGCTACAAGATAAAAATGTTAAAAACAGTATCATATACAAACACAAAAAATATACGACGGCGTATGCATATGTACAAATAGAAGAACTTTTAAAGTTTAAATACAACTAATTTTTATGCAGCTAGTAATTCAAACTTGATCCAAACCAAGAGACAAAGTAAAAACGGGTGAAAAATAATAAATATACTAAGTGACATATAAATCCGAACACCCAGTTTAAATGGTTTTATTTTAATAAAAGTTGGTGAATGTATTTATCTTACTGTAAATAACAAGTGAAAAAATTTTCAGCCTTATCAGTTGGACATTCCGGTTTTTATACTGCTTTTTTTTTTAATTCCCTAACGCTCTAAAAATGAATATTTCAGCCGCAGTAAAGAATCAACGTTGGCGGATTTTGGTTGTTGACATCCTTTACGATGCCTAGAGTACGGAGACCTGTACGATTTCGTCAACTTAGTGAGTTTGATAGTGGCCGTATAGTGGGACTTCGGGAAGCTGGACTTTCTTTTCGGGCAATTGCAGTTAGAGTGCAAAGAAATGTAGACACTGTGGTTAGGTGTTGTCAGGCATGGCTTCGAGAAGGCCGTACGCAAAGAGCAAGGGGCACTGGACGCCGCCGTAGAACAACAGACCGTGAAGATCGCCGCCTAAGATTATTGGCCTTAAGGGACCGTTTCTCCACTACCAGGTCCATTGCAAATGAATGGTTTGCAGAACACGGAAGACCTGTTGGCATGCGAAGTGTTTACCGACGAATGAGAAGTTTTGGCTTGTTTTCATACCGGCCACACTGGGTCCTCCCTTTAACTCGAGAACACCGACGTAATCGCCTTGAGTGGTGCAGACAACGGTCACTCTGGGATCAGGAATGGAACAGTATTGTCTTTAGTGACGAGTCTCGATTTTGTTTAGACATGCACGATGGTCGTGCCAGGGTTAGAAGGCGACGTGGTGAAAGGAGGAATCCACAGTTTTTTGTTGAAAGACATGTTCATCACACTGTTGGAGTTATGGTTTGGGGTGCTATAGCTTATGGTTCCAGGTCACCTTTAATCTTCATCAAAGGTAACATGAACGCGCAGCGTTATATCCACGGAGTTCTAGAACACCATCTTTTACCCTATCTTGACACCCTGGCAGATCCAACTTTCCAACAAGATAATGCCCGACCACATGTTGCAAGAGTCACAATAGACTTCTTTCAACATAATGATGTCACATTGTTACCATGGCCAAAAAGATCTCCCGACTTATCCCCAATTGAGCACGTGTAGGATATGATGGGTAGGAGATTGCTCAATTTGCAACGTCCTCCTCAGACTCTAGAAGCACTTCGAGAGGAGTTGGTGGTTGCCTGGAATGAGATACCACAGGAGGACATTGACCACCTGATCAGAAGCATGCCTAGGCGCGTCGGAGAATGCGTAGCACATCAGGGTGCATCCACACATTATTAAAGGTCAAAGGGCTGTAAAGCAGCGCAATCATTTTGAAATTTTTATCATTTACTTATTATGCTTCATTAAGTACTTATACAAAATTTTATTAAAATAAAACCATTTAAACTGGGTGTTCGGATTTATATGTCACTTAGACGTAGAAATAATAAAAAAAATTGCGGAAGAGCAGCCGTACCAAATAAGTGTTGCAACAAGCGCGTCACAGGGGAATTAAAAACAAAACAAAAATGAATGAAACGTATGATGGTAGCATCTACTCGATACAAATAACTTAACCATCTGAACTTGTCGATAGACGTATATAGTATATACGATGAGCAGTCAAACATTGAAATAACATGAGAACAGTTTAGAGCCTAAGTCTGACGAATTTATTCATTAAGAAGTTATAAATCTGTCTAAGATCTTCCATGAATGGTTGAACTAACGGGTAATTTTCTTGCTGGAATTGAATATATCAAAATCTTCAAAAAGCACAGTTCTAGCCTGCTAAATGTTTGCAACAAAATTCTCAAAAAGTTGTGATCCTTGGCAAATTATTTGGCTACTTGGATAGCGCTGCCACTTTCTAAGCCTGTTAAACTAACTCATCATACTCATGTTCCACATTACAGCTCAGAACGAACTTGAGAATGGCAGAAAAGTTTTCTCACGTACAGAAATATGTATAAGATACATTCGCGTTTCAGATCGGATTGAATCATATCGTGTAAGTGACCGAAAATAGCGAGCAATTTGCGGTAAGAAGCCCAAACAAGGCCATTCGTCACTTGAGCCTCGAAGCATTATTTATCGGTAAAAGAAGAGTCACTAATGAAGCATCGAGATAAATCTCTCGAGGCAACTCAGATAACGTTTCACTATATTTAAAGAGGCTGTAGCTCAGGGTCCGACACAGATCAGCCTCGTCTTAACTTGGTTACCCTAATTCCTATATCCTTTACTTTCTGAACATTAAAAAGAATAGAAAGTTAGATACTAATCACAATTTTGAAATGTACATTAAAAAATGGGGAAAGTAGGTTGACTCTGCACGCAACTAGGGTTGAAAGCGTATACATATACTGCCGATAACAAAATGAGATACACGTTCCTCCAACCCCTACAACCTCAACCCTCACAGTCCCCACAAAGATTTTTCTGAAAGTGATCAGGAGCCTTTAAACGCCAACTTTTGCCGTTTTTTATTTTTTCGTGTTTTTCCCCCAACACCTCCGATTTTCAAACACTACAAGCTTAGCATAAGTAACCTTTTGGGAAAATTTCATCCAAATCCGAGCACTACTTTCCAAGTTATAGACGGACCAAGGATTCGCGTACAGACAGACAGACTGACGAATATGAATGGCGTAGTATTTTGTAATATACATGTCATATAGCATCCAAAATATATTTTGAAAACGATAAAGCTATGTAAAGTTGTGTATATGTAGCTTAATTGTGGTTTTTGTGATTAAAAATTGTATGTGCAAATATATTCTCCACCATGCACTCATGGCTTTGGGATAGATATGCATGTTTCCACTATACCCCAACTTGCCTTGCTGAAATAGTGAGGCTGGACATTATCGTACAATATTAAAGCATACGAGAGCAACATCCAAAGTAGGAGGAACTCACATAGTGCGAAAGGCAAAAGTTGTTGAACTAACTCACCTTTGTGACAAATGTCGTAAAGATTTGCTATCATTTGTCGCGACCTTGAATGTTGTCATCATATCAAAAAGTTCACATAGCTTGTTCACCTGTCAGAATGAACATTGAAACGTCTTCTGTTTCGTTTTTTCAACTTTAACTTACCATGTTTATGGTTGTCGGATCCTTATCCTCGGCACAATATGAATTGATTGCCGGAGTCTAATCCACTTCTGTTCCCTCAGAGGCAGAGAGTTGGTCAGCTTTATCATAAATTGTATTGAAATCTCAATAAAGCCTACCTGGATACATAAAAAACGCCTCAGTAATTGCGAAGGCACATCAAGTAGTGTCCACATCTCATTTTACGGAAACCACCTTAAGAGAAGTATAACCGTCGTCACCGGAAAACCATGTATATTAAATTATCCTTTAGGGTCAAATAAACTAGTTGAAAAATCGTTAATACTATTATTCTATTATTGATTAAGTATTCTACCTGAAGATAGCCAGCCATATACTGAATTCTGGCGTCCCAAAATAAATCTGAAAGAAGCCAGCGCCATCTGTGAGACAGTAGCAGGATACAAAAATGAACTTACAAAAAATGCTGTTAAGAAGTTACTTTCCACGTATTCGTTGAAATTCGGAAATTTCAAAGCGTAAATTGATTAGGTATTTTCACTTAGGTACGATGTATCGTAAACCTCTGCATCTCAAACTACATAAAACGTCGACGATCTAAGAGTTCCATGTACATTCCCACAGTATTGCACAACGCTGAAGTGATACATATTCCTAACACCCAAATAATTTCCTATTATAAACATTTTATTCTTCACATCTACACAATCGGTAATTGGTCACCTCTCAGCGCCAAACCAAGATCGGTCGTTTATTATTTCAAATCGTGAGCACATTATTGGTCAACTTTCATTGATATCAAAGAAGCAAACTTCTTAGCCTCCTACGACTACAACACTCAATTCTCAACCTTCAGCGTCTGCAAGGAATTTTTTGAAAAATGTCACGAATCTGAGAAACGTCAAAAAATCAAGCTTGGGGGATTTTTTCTCTGTCACTACACCGATTTTCAAACACCTCAAAGCTTTTTCGTCATTGTGCTTAGCCGAGAGACAAACAAACAGATAGATTGACGGAAATAGGTGATATGGTTTTGGGTCGCGTACCAGTCATATAACTTACAAAAAACATCATTATCGAATTACAATGTTTCCTCGCCAGTGGCATAGGAAGTAAAAGAGTGATAGTGTTTAGTTCTGCTACTCTCTCATAGGTGGCGGTATGAGCTTCAATCCCGTGTTAGCGTCTACTACCTATTTTAATCAGGTATCTTCGGACATTGATTATCATATTCCACCTGAAGATACCCAATTAAAATAAACTTTAGAGAGGCCAAAGAGGGATTCAAGATCATATCGAAATCTATGAAACAGTGGCATAAACACTCTAACTCTTTCCAAAGCAGATTTCTGAAATAATTTTTGATCCAATAGTGTCTCCTAGATTCCGCTAGAATCACGTTAATCAATGGTAGTAGAAAAAATGATATTAAAGAGTTTTGAATGAGAAAAACTTGATTGCCTTATTTATCTTGTTACTTGAGAGTGGCAGAAGAATTGTCCAATCTCAAACCCCAAACAGATGTAGAAGCAAGAGTTTGTTGACGTTTAGGCTAATTTTATTTGGCGGCCACTAGAACACGGAGATTGATTAGCTATGACAACTTTAGAATAACTTTCAGATATAACAATGATTCGACCTGTTTGTTTTTAAAAACATAGTGATGCAGCTGTCTCTATACGAATAGTCAGTTTGTTGGGGTGACGAAATATTTAATAGCCGGTACTTAACAGGTAAATCAAATATTTAATATTCGCCGTACAGCGTTGAACCTGTAATATCATCGTTGGAGTAGGTTAGTTCGGCAATAATTCAGTGTTGATAACATCGCTGGCATAACGTGACTTGCGGTCAAGTTCACATGTTAATCCTTGGTTTACACGCTACCTAAAATCGATGAACCCTGACTCTTAGGATCGCATTCTAATGAGTTGCTTTTTATTCAAAGGTCCAATTAAATACTATCAGATCAACCAGCTTGGGAACCTTGACGAACTTTGTTGTTTTTGGGCATTCATATTGATATCTATAGGCTGTAGCCCTGTCAGATTAACTTGCTAGGCTTCTGTCTTACATTTTGAATTTTTCGAATCTTCAATATATCGAGATCTTACCGGTACGATCGCTACTTTGTTTGTTCCTAGAGTGTGATTGAGGAACAGTCTCCTAGAACAGGAGAATAATATATTCTAAGTGACATATAAATCCGAACACCCAGTTTAAATGGTTTTATTTTAATAAAATTTTGTATAAGTACTTAATGAAATGAAGGATAATAAGTAAATGATAAAAATTTCAAAATGATGGCACTGCTTTAAAGCCCTTTGACCTTTAATAATGTGTGGATGCACCCTGATGTGCTACGCATTCTCCAACGCGCCTAGGCATGCTTCTGATCAGGTGGTCAATGTCCTCCTGTGGTATCTCATTCCAGGCAACCACCAACTCCTCTCGAAGTGCTTCTAGAATCTGAGGAGGACGTTGCAAATTGAGCAATCTCCTACCCATCATATCCCACACGTGCTCAATTGGGGATAAGTCGGGAGATCTTGGTGGCCATGGTAACAATGTGACATCATTATGTTGAAAGAAGTCTATTGTGACTCTTGCAACATGTGGTCGGGCATTATCTTGTTGGAAAGTTGGATCTGCCAGGCTGTCAAGATAGGGTAAAAGATGGGGTTCTAGAACTTCGTGGATATAACGCTGCGCGTTCATGTTACCTCTGATGAAGATTAAAGGCGACCTGGAACCATAAGCTATAGCACCCCAAACCATAACTCCAACAGTGTGATGAACATGTCTTTCAACAAAAAACTGCATATTCCTCCTTTCACCACGTCGCCTTCTAACCCTGGCACGACCATCGTGCATGCCTAAACAAAATCGAGACTCGTCAGTAAAGACAATACTGTTCCATTCCTGATCCCATAGTGACCGCTGTCTGCACCACTCAAGGCGATTACGTCGGTGTTCTCGAGTTAAAGGGAGGACCCAGTGTGGCCGGTATGAAAACAAGCCAAAACTTCTCATTCGTCGGTAAACACTTCGCATGCCAATAGGTCTTCCGTGTTCTGCAAACCATTCATTTGCAATGGACCTGGTAGTGGAGAAACGGTCCCTTAAGGCCAATAATCTTAGGCGGCGATCTTCACGGTCTGTTGTTCTACGGCGGCGTCCAGTGCCCCTTGCTCTTTGCGTACGGCCTTCTCGAAGCCATGACTGACAACACCTAACCACAGTGTCTACACTTATTTGCACTCTAACTGCAATTGCCCGAAAAGAAAGTCCAGCTTCCCGAAGTCCCACTATACGGCCCCTATCAAACTCACTAAGTTGACGAAATCGTACAGGTCTCCGTACTCTAGGCATCGTAACCGATCGTAAGGGATGTCAAGAACCAAAATCCGCCAATGTTGATTCTTTACTGCGGCTGAAATATTCATTTTCAGGGCGTTAGTGAATTAAAAAAAAACAGTATAAAAACCGGAATGGCCAACTGATAAGGCTGAAAATTTTTTCACTTGTTGTTTACAGTAAGATAAATACATTCACCAACTTTTATTAAAATAAAACCATTTAAACTGGGTGTTCGGATTTATATGTCACTTAGTATATGTTTAGCTTATAGAAAACCAATCCTCTACAGCAGACATCATTTGATTTTTTTCTCTTAAATGCTCTTTTAATTTTGTCGTCATTTATGGAGGCCTGATGATACAATGCAGGAAGTATGACTGGGAAAATTCTGATGAAGCGATACGTCTCTTCTTAACAAAGAATACAAAGTTACCAGTATAAGGAGCACTCGCGAATTGAATTTATTCAGGGTGATTCATATGTCATTATTGTTTTCATGGCATGGGCAATGGATGACAAATATCGTTTGCTTAAAAAAATTTCGAGTTGAAAAATAATGTTTAGCCTCTACGTCCAAGTTCTCATAATATTATGCGTTTTTTAATATTCTGGTCAGATGATCCAGTTACAGCAATGTTGGTATCCACAATCTATCATTTCACATTTATATTTTGCGTTCCGTTGTTTATCTCTAGTGACTAGACCTACAGCATACTGACGATTATAAAAAGCATGACACAACGTTGTATATAATTGTTTATGGTCACAGAGACAGATCCTTAACAAACAGTGCAAAATCTCTCCGCGTCATGAACTCTGCACAGTGCGCGAACAACTGATTCCAAATGAGTTGCTACAACTTCATAACTCGCTTCCTCCATCGGAACAAGATTGAAGCTGAGGACATCATTGACAACGAGATGCCTCCTAGTGAAACGGAGGTCGTCTCCTCATTACGAAGACTTTTAGAAGAGAAAAATCGAGAGTTGAAGCACAAAGAAGAAACCATCTTACTCCTGGAGAAAGAACTGGATGACAAAGATAGTACCATCAAACATCTCCATAATGAGATAGACAAGTTCAGGCAAGTGGTTAGGCCCATAACTCAGAAGATTATCACGAAGCAGATATGCCTGGATGGTACGTGCTGGCAGGTGCCAACGGAAGTCGTAGAAGTAGAGGAGGGCGATACTCAGAGCACCAACGAGACGAGGACCAAGAGGCAGGCTGTCAGTGCTGCACCGCCGCTTGCTGGGGAGCAGTTACAGATCAAGAAGATACCCAAGACGCAGCGGTAAGTCTGAAGATTTTGTTTGGACAATACATTTTCTTCCAGCGGAAGTGGGCTAGGTAGCGACTTTAGTGGATCTATAAGACTTGGATACTTTCTCAGTATATACAATGTGATCCAAAAGTCCCAAAACGGCAAGTTATTTAGGAATATTCAAGAGGTATGGGCTTTGGCAATTTTCCACTGAACGGACAAAATAAAAACAATTCACAAATTGGTGTCCAATAAAACAAAACTGTAACTTTTCGCAAACTCTTTTGAAGATGCCATGTTTTGCGACAGTTGGAGTTTTGTCACATCAAAAGGTTGTGACATGCTTTGAAACTCAAGTCTGTTTTGTTTTCTCGTTATTTTCGCCTTGCATGTCTGAATGACGATTGTTGTAACAAATTAGTAGCTAAGGAAATCACGTATTTTTTCACAGATAAAAAATTGTCTTGAGATGCTGGATAACTTTATATATACATTAAAGCTTTGATAATTATGCCCAATAGCAAGGAACCTCAATGTTAATTTAATCCATCTTCAACAGAAACTCAGTCTCTAACCTTTGTGTTTAACTTTGCAAATTTTCTGCCAATTAATGTAATTACCTTTCCATAATCAGGGGAAGACATTCTCAGAAAATTATGACATCATGTGCGATGTTTACATACAATCTAATGTAATCATTTTGGATATCATTCATCAAATCCCCAGCACCAACGTTCACTCGTCTAGATAATGATGCTCGAACCCAATATCTGTGATGCCGTTTTCTTTTTCACCTAAAAAATAATACTTTTTAATCATTGATAAATATATATATGTACAGTTGAAGTGTTTACTAATTTATAAACACATACTTACAGACACAGATATTTCCTTATAGACACGGCACGTATATAACATACATTTACTTTTTTCAAGGACTTCACTGTCAACCACCCTTAACTAAGAATAAAAAAGCTTCTTCTCAAAACATGTTCGTTGGTTATTGAAGAAAAACTGTGCTTAGACTTCCGCGACAGCCAGTAGAAAAAGACCAAAAACAAAAATTCGTGCTAAATGTAGCCCACTTGATTGAAACAAGAGCTCTGGGCTTGCTTCATTTTTGTTTTCCAGGTTTCAGAAAATACAAACACAACCTAAACTCAAGTGTTCGTTTGGTGGAAAATCATCTTTACGATGTTCTCTGGCTGTTTAGTGGTGACCTTGAACTGTGACTCCATCATGACCTTGAAGGATAAATCGAGGGCAAATTTTTTCAAATGGGATCCTATAATTTTGACGCCGGCAATGGTTTGTGCGGAAAAGCTTACGTTCAAATATGACCTTGTGTGAAAGTTATTTTGATCATGACCATTTTGGTCAAGGTCATCATAAAAAACCCTCTATTGAAAAGGTCTTAGTGATCTTTCTGGAGAACAAAAATAAGGACTCAAAGGAAGCGGTAGGATTTTCCCATGTCCGTTGATTGGTTACCTTAAAACTGACCTTAATCATAACATTGGTGGTGAAATCAATAATACAATTTTTTTAGCGGCACTTTGTATCTTTGACCGCATAAATTCATGGCTATCCTATTCACTAGTGACATGCAAACTGACCTTAAAAGTCAGATCAAAGTCCTAGTATAAAAAAGGGCCAAACAATTTCCATTCTATTTCCGGGGTCAAAAGTATCAGAGTGCCATTAGAGAAAATTGTCATGACCTTGATTCTACTATCAACGTTATGGCAAATATTAGCTTCGAGGTCACCAGTGAATAGACAGGAAACATTCATGGACCACTGACACCGTAACCTTTGGATCCTCATTTTTCATCTCCAGATATATCCCTAAAATCTTTCCAAACGAGGGTTTCTCACAATGACCTTAGTCAGGACTTTCAAGGTTAAAACAATGTTTAAACAAGGACCTATCCGAACGTTTTTCAGCGTATAAGGACTCATAAAAATCGTCTTGACCTTGATTTAACCGACAAGGTCAACAGTAAATTTAAGGCCACCACTGAATAGCGAGAGGAAAATGCTAAACCCTCACTATTTTACATCAACCGTTGAATATTCCCAAATGTGCTGTTCAGGGACCATTGGATCACCCTGTAGAGCGAAACAAAAGAACTAAAGAAACAAACAAGATCAAAAACCGACCGAATGTGCCCTAAAGCTGTGCCCTGGTCACATTGGCTGTGCATTTTCTGAAATTACCAAGTGTAAATAGTAGCTTAGGTAGCTACCACGCCGTAATGGAGCGTAGACATACCTCACGTCACATGGCTTGTTTGTCCAGGATTATCTGTTTTAATAGTACAAAAAGTGTTTGCAAAACCAATTTTTATTATATTGGAAAAATCTAGTCGTCAGGTTTCTCCACCGAATGCGAGATTATCGCCGCATCTATAAAAAGTGTTATCTATAATCTCTACTATCGATTTGGCACAGCGGTTAGTGAAGTTCAACAGATCAACAGTCTAGATTATATTCACGGGGAGGAGATGATTTCGCATCAAATTTGAAATGCAAACGACCACCAGAATAGCAAATTGCTGTTCCTGTAACATACGATTTTCGGTTGCGTGCGTCCTGCTGTGAAACAGACCACAAGCAATGGTGATGCGACGTGTTAAATGGAATCTGACATGACATGGCCTCCTGCGGGTATCATACCGATGTTTTGGATTTGCGCTGACACGCAGAAATTGCAAAAAAATGAGCTTGTAAAGGTTATTGTAGGGGAGACTGTCAGGAGTATTACCCAACTTGAAAAAGTGACATTATGCGTTTATTTTGACATTATGTGTTTTTTTTTTGTCATTGTGTAGGTTTCTTACGACAGAATTTAGGTTTTCCTACAAGATGTCAACTACGAACTAGTTATTCTCCACACTCAGTTGTAGAAGGCGTTAAATGAACAGTTATCAATTTATCGTTTGACATTATATAGGTTTTTACGTAATAATCCCACCGGGCAAAGTGAACACCTTAATCATTCTGCTGTTATTAGAAGTACGAGGTCTATAAATTAAGTGATAGGACTGGCAACGTAGCGTTCGATCTGGCAACACTGGAGGCGCCGGGCTTGGAGGGGGGACAGGGGAACGTGTGCTCCGCTTTCAGTACAAGTTTGAACTCGCTCGATGTATTCGGTTGTCCGAAACAGTTTTTGCTATTGTGTTCTAAAAATGAATCACATCAATTTCAAGCAACGGTGTGCTATCAGGTTTTACTGTGTGGTAATATGTAGTTATTCACAGATTTGATTGTGTTTTGATGTTAAATGGTCGGCGATTGAAAGTAGTTTTTGGATACTAAAACAAAATGCTCTCAAGGTTAGAAAAACAAAACCAAAATTATCGGTTAGGATTGTGACAGGGAATATTTCATTCGCTTAGGATGGCTAACCTTTCTCGTTTGAATCGAAGAAACAGGACCATCTTGCAAACTGCAAATGATTGGATGCGTTTGTCTTTCAGACAAAAGAATGCCGTCTTACGAAGCTATAAAATTTAAAGATAGATAGACGAGTCAAAATTGACTTCATAGTTTAATAATAATAGGAATAATAAATCATTTATTATCCTTTTGACATACTAACATACGTTAGATTCATCATATTATCAATAAATTAAATAAAATCTAAAACAGTAAAACATATAAAATAGTCAAAGAGTTACAAATTCAGAGACAGACAGGGTATAAATAGCATATTTTTAAGTTTCTCCGTAAAAGACTGCATTGACGTGCATAATTTAACGGAAGGAGCAGCATATTATATATTTTTGGCTCAAGAATACTGGATGATCTAAATCTAAACTGCTGTCTTGATTCGGGTGTAAAGGCCGTCGTCGGTTGGAATTTTTTCCTAACGTTTCGCTAGCACGAGTGGCAAGCTTCTTCAGAGTTCCTTCCATTTCGATGCTGGATGTAGAACGGCAATTTCTCTTGCGCAGGGTAGGTGACGAGGCTTGTTCCGCTTCGGTTGACGTCTTGATGTCGATCTTCACTGCTGAGGCGTTTCTGAGGATCGGGTGCCAGATCGGGTTGAGTCTGAGGTTCTCTTGCTTCCTGTTGAAGTTATCTGGATGTTTGTGAATCTCGATAGCTTCCCTGACCAGTCTATTGTGATAGCCGTTGACTGATGACAGCAACCTGCTGCTCCCAAAGTGTATCCTGTGGTCCCCATTGCTTAGTGCATGTTCAGCTACCGCAGACTTCTCAGTTTGTCCTAGACGGCAATTTGCTTTGTGCTCCTTGAGTTTCGTTCCCATTGATCTTTTCGTGGTTCCAATGTATACTTTGCCGCATGAACACGGTATGCGGTAGACTCCTGCAGCTGAGCGTGGGTCCTTCTTGTCCTTTGCCGATCTGATGGTTTGTTGGATCTTCTTCGTAGACTTGAAGATTGTTTTAATGTCATGTCTCTTCAGGACTCTGCCAATCCTGTCCGTGACTCTTGGCACAAATGGAAGATACGCTTGAGATGTGGTGAGCGCTGTTCTGTTTCACGCGCCCTGGGTGATCTCGAGCCCATTGATCTTTCGATGTCCCTCTTACTGTAGCCATTTGCTTAGAACGCAGTTTTCAGGTGTTCCAGTTCTGTCTGGACGATCTCCGGTTCGCAAATCTTTCGAGCTCGTTCTGTCAGGGTTCTGATAACTCCATACTTTTGACTTGGGTGATGATTGGACCAAGCATGCAGGTATCTGTCTGTGTGCGTTGGTTTCCTGAACACTGTGTGAGCCAGCTTGTTACCTCGCTTCCTAACTAGTACGTCCAAGAAGGCCAGTTGTTGGTCACTCTCTATATCCATGGTAAATTGTATGCTTGGGTGCCGATCGTTGATGAGCTGCAGAAACTCGTTTAGCCTGTAAGTGCCATGTTTCCAAATCACGAAGGTGTCGTCCACGTACCGGAACCAAATTGCTGGTCTGTTCTCCGATGTCTCAACTGCCTTCTGCTCAAAGTGTTCCATAAAAAGGTTGGCTATGACTGGGCTGAGTGGACAACCCATTGCCACTCCGTCTGTCTGCTCATAAAAGCCCCCGTCCCATACGAAGTAGCTTCCAGTGAGACAGATTATGGATGATCTGCTGCTTTTGCAATATTTGACGAAAGATAGAAGGAGGTAACCACTTTATCTAGTGTAAAAGGTATGTTCGCCCTTATTTAACAGGTGCTGGTCTTTATTTTGGTGCATACAGGGTTCAATTGAAAACTTACCAATTTATCGAAAACCACTGAATCAATAAAATAATTTTGACTACCCTAAGATTGTCACAAAGGTAACTGGCAAATTATTTTGTTCCTTTAGCAACAAATTACTAAACAGGTATAACAATAAATACAGTTCGCTCAGGAGATATGTGTTGATGAAGAGAATGCGGAAAAAAATTTGGGTCGTTGTTTGGTTGTTGCCACGTTTAATCTTCCGAATTGCTGTTTATGTTGGTAGTTTCCGTTTTAAATTATAAACGAATTGTAGATTTGGCAGAGACGCCCCAAAAGCATAAGGCATACCTCAGCCTTAACTCGACTTATGCATAGAAATTGCTCTTCTGTTAAAGTGGTGCGTAGATTTTTTAAAACATACGATTGGGTATTAGATTTTGAGACCACATTACTACAGCGCTGTTTGAGATCAAGGCACTCTTCAATCCTAAGGATTTGGTATTGCCTGAAATGCCCAAATTGCAATTGTTTATTTGTAAATCTAGCGGTACTAATTTTTTGCACATTGTGAAATCTTACTATCGCTGATTTATCTAGTCTGGACCG